GGGGGGAATTTTTTTCCATTATAAAAAAAAAAAGTTTTTTTTTTCCAAAAAAAAAAACAAAAAGGTTTTTTTTTGGGGTTGGACCTTGAAAAAAAACAGGACCCCCGGGGGGGGCCCCCCCCCCCCCCCCCCCAAGGGTACAAGCCCCCCACCTCCCTTCTTTTTGAGGACAATGGCCACCCCAGCTTTAGGGTTTTTTGGTCCCAGCTCCACTGGCAACGGCACCCCCTTGGCTTCCCACTGGAAGTATTTCGCGCCAGGCCGCATGTTGGGCCGTTCGTCCACCTTTGGACAGACGAACGAACGTGCGCCGCCAAGAGGGGGGCGTGTGTTTATTACTTCCCAGGCATCGTTAGAGGGATTTATTGGTAGCTACCGGTGGTTTGCTCGACAAAAAAGGCGGGTGTTTAGTTGGGTTAGGGAGGGGGGGGGGGGGGGGAGTAGGAAGGCAGGGTTGACAAGACTTGCGTGGTTTGCCGGTCGGGCGAGATGAGTTTGGCAGAGGAATCCATCGCAGCCAGTGGCATGCAGCATCCGGCCCACAGCCCCCGATCTCGTCGGTGTGTGTGTGTGAGTGTTTATTATAGGCATCGGCCGCCGACCGGCTCATCCCCAATGAAAAGACGCCAGTCTCAGTGCGGATGAAAACACAAAATACTTCCACTAAAGGCCATAACCTGGGACTCCGTGAAGGGGTGTCACGGGGGAGCCCATGCCACTCTCCGTAGTAATGACAGATGCCGCCCGTAGCATACGCGTGTGTCCCCTCCTTCTCTTTTCTTTGCATGCCATGCATACCTTGACACGAACGCCGGCGGCCTTGAGCTGATCGACGACGCCGTCCACTGCCTTGTTGACGAGGTCGGTGTCCTCGCCGGGACCCTTGGTGATGGGCACGATCACCACCTGCGGAGGCACACACGCAGACCGCCGACGAGGGTTGGAGTAGAGTGTCACTGCTGCTGCTGCTGCTGCTGCTGCCGCTGCAGTATTCTTACAAAGTCTTCCTTCCGGAATGGTGGTTGGAGCCCCGCTGCTGGTGCTGGTGCTGGTGCTGGTGCAGCAGTATTCCTACAAAAAATCTTTCCTTTAAAGTCGTCGTGGGCTGCCGGCAAACACGCCGCAGTCCCACCTCAAAACCCGATCTCGACTTGGGTGTTCGGGCATGGGTCGTGAAACCACGTATGGAACGGTACAGATTTTCTCAGGATGCAACTTGCATAGAAAAAACAACCCCACGGGTCTAGGGTGTGTATGTGTGTGTGTCCTTAACGCTAGCATCGACCGCGCTACCCGGTTAACCAATGACGTGGCGTCAAGCTCGGCGTGGCGAAAAAAGGAAACGCTTCTTCTACGGGTCATCATCCGGCGGGCACGTGAGGCCGGGGTAATGTGTGTACGAGGGTGCCGCGGCCTTCGCAGAGGCATGAACAACATCAAAAGTAACGAGGGGTGGGGGCAGGCCCTCTCTCTCCCTCTCGCTCGCTCTCTCCCCCCCTCTCTCTCTCTCTTCCCCTGTCTGCCTGTCTATATGTCTGTCTCCATCTCTCTCTCTCTTCCCCTGTCTGTCTGTCTCTCTGTGTCTATCTGCCCCTGTTTCTGTTTCTGTCTCTGTCTCTCTCGTTCTCTGCCCCCCCCCCCCCCCCCCCCCC